CTCTAACATTGCTCTACATCTCCATGAGAATGTGGCCAGCAAAGCCATCTACATAAGTTGTCTGTAGTGCAGGAACCCCCTGGTGGCCATGATATGTGTATCATGTAAGGTTTGGGCAATTTTTGCTTTCGGAGCCACTAACTGCATTACAGGTCGGGCACCACACTTGCATGAAATGTACCAATAATATAGCACTCCCTCTTATACTTCTAATTAATCAAATAGTTGTAAAAGGTAATGTTCTTCTATACTAAATTCTCCAATTTCTGAGGGTTGTACTTTGTTTTGTTTGCACAGCAAGAAGTGCTCAAGCTAGGTATGAGTCTTTTAACTGCTCTTCTTACAGTTTCTTTTTCATCACATTCAGTATCGACAGATCAGAAGAATTTTTAATATCTGCATGCCTTGTTGTCATAGCTGAGAATTTAGGGTTCATGGCAGCATCATGTACTGGATCTGGACATTCTAAAAACCGACATGCTCTCACTTGACAATGAGAAAGCTTGTCTGCATTTTCATGCTGTCATCCTTGTTGGTGTTATATAGTGAAATTATATATTGCAACGTTGTGTTCTTATGTACGATCATAACTTCTTGTTCTTTAAAGTTAATCGACCATTTCAATAATAAACGATCTGCTAGAGCAGTAAATTCACAGCCATACAAATAGTAGGAAAAGTGTTTAACAAACAACATTACTGCAAGCAGTTCTTTCTCCAATTTACTTACATCGTCTAGTTCAATTTTCCAGTAACTAGAGTACAGATTTAACATTTAAAACCAGTGAGAACCTCCAATATGAATTCAGTCGTTCGTCTGTGAACTGTAAGGGAAATGCACCAACAAACATTATCATGTTCACCCAGCTGAAGTCCACAGTGGAACTAGGCATTCCTCCCTCTTTCTGACAATTACCATTGGAGACAAACAAGCACACTCTGAAAGTAGTTTTTATCCCATTCATAAACATCCACTCGTTTTCAGTGCTGGCACTATCCTTTGTGCTTTAATGAAACCTGCACAAAAGTTTTTACTGGACACACATCATCTGTATCTATGTGATGCAATGTAATTGTTGTTCAATACATTTGATCACATGGTATCATGAACATATCGATAAACATCTTGAGAAATTCATTGAGTTCATGTGTCTGCTTTAATAATTTTTGCAAATTCATTTATAAACAGGACACTTGACTGGTTCGTGTTTCTTCTGCCTCGGATACTATGCCAATCACCGTTCCAGCTGGAATCTATATAAAAGAATGACCATAATTATATACTTTTTTGAACCCATTATGGTTAGCATGGATGATTTTGTTAAGGAATTGCAGCACACGCTACACAAGCAAAACTGGTTGACAATTTGCCCAGTAGGTTTATCTTGAACATGACAATGCCTGATTCCAGATGATAGACAACTACCTTTGTATGGCACGTGACACTATCAAGGTGAATTGGAAAACAAGTCTTTCTATTTGTATAAAGCATATCACCACTCACCAGACAGTTTTTCCTAACTAGTCAAAGTGGTGGCTTTCCACAGAACTCCAGATAACTAGTAAAGTCGAGTAAGGTTCTGACTATTAAAATTCAGCCTTGAATTCATATATTATTATCAGTACGTACCATGTAATGCCCAGTCTCTAGTTTTTCAAACTAGCCACCATGATGTATGTGAGCTAACTGTTGCACTCACCCAAGTTAGCAGCCAGAAACAACTAGTTGGAGTAACTGCAGCCAGAGATCATCATAAACCATCCTGTTTCTGTTGCAGCATCTGGTGACAGTACATTTGCAAAAACAGTAACCCGATAAGCCATAGTTAAAATATAGATGCCTTCTCTTGTACTCCTTATATGCCTTTGGAATGTATTGACTGAAACTTTCATGAATTTCAACCTTCCATAACTGGTTTAAACTATATCTGTATTTAGAAAATGTTATTCATGTACATTTTCTTAATTTTTTTGTGGGGTTCTATGATGCCCGGGGCCTTGTACCTAAGACCTTGGGGAAGGGTTCTACTATTCGATTCGACTCTTTGCGTTGGATGCCCGGAGCCCAGGCATCTTTCGCCCCCCCCCCCCCCTGCACGCTACTCTCTGCATGTAATGTGGCACTTTTGCTAACTGAATGTCAAAAGATCATAAAGATGTGCTCATTCTTTCATTCAGGCATAGGCTACATACTGCAATGTTTGTTCTTAAATCTCAAGCTAGTGTGTGTGTTTCTGTATAGATTTCTTGTAAGGACACCTATTCAAACAAGTAATAAACAAACCCCTACACCTAGCTTGGCTTAAGATTGCATGTAAACTGTAGATTCGTGGGATACCTGCATTGTTTTGTTGTTTAGCACAAAACTACTCAATAGAGTATCTGCATTTTGTCCACAGCAGGGAACTGAGAACTGGGTTTTAACACTGTAAGTCCATAAACTTACCACTAATCCACTGGGAGCTTCTTTGTTTTGTAGTTAAGTGAAGAATTTCTATGTTACGTCTCTTGCTCTAGAATTCTCTTGGTCTTTGTCTTATGTACATATGTTCTATCTTTAGCCCCAGCAACTAGAAAAAAAACAAACAAAGAAGCCCACAAGCTACGTATTAGTGTGCCATTTCTTTTGGTTAATAAAGATAATATTTAATTTTTACAGTTGCGTTTGTTCATTTTCCTTCCTTTGCTGTCCGAGTTAGATTTATTCTGAGCTTATCCATCCCAAACCTGCATTACTGCAGATACTTTAGACTTATATGTCTAGTGGTTTGGGTTTGGTAGGAAAATCAAGGAAACCTTTCATGGCCATTGAGAATCATGGAAAATGTGACACGATCCCTTTTGGCATCTGTTACATAGGAACTGGCAGTTGATGTTTTTGTCAACCTTAGGGGTCGTCACAGATCATAGAGGCTATGTCAGAACTAAGTCTAACTTCTTTTTCTTTTGCTCCAGCATGTGGTTTGATCTAACCATTTCAAACCACACAACCATTGTAACTGTCTACATGAAAGACAAGATGCCCCTCAAACATATGTGGTGATGCATGGGGTCACTCAGAAAATCCTCTATAAAGTTGTCAATGAACATCTCATCACAATATATAGTAGAAAGTTTCAGGAACGTCTTTCCATGCAATATTCTTTGAGCATCCATATGGCTAACTTTTGAACTGAGTCCTGTTCTACACAAGGTCGAATCCACAACTTAACTCATTGACCAGCTTCTTTACCACCACTGTGGAGCCAAAAGTCTTCTAGCAATCTGGAGGTTGACACATCACTCATCACAAAGTATGCAATGAGACTAAGGAACACCACTGATGTCATACATGATGTAAATCAATTTGTGATAAGATGAAAAGTTCGGATAAACAACACTACAATTTCTAGAAGTGTCTGGATTAAAAAAAAAAAGTCTAAGATCCACGATAGAAAGAAAGGTCGAGTAAGTTTACTATTGTGTCAATTGTTCTTGTTTTGACTGGTATTTTTTTACCTACACAGAAGCCAACAACACAGAAGGATATATAGTACTACCTGGTCATTGAAATGAATATTCGAATCCAAAGCCTTAATAATCTCATGCTGGCGAGGTTCAACTGGTTGAGAGACCAATTCGAGGGAAATCCTATCAAAAACAAATGCTTGCAAGAAAGAGGACCTTTAGAAGTTATAAACAATATTGAGGGAGACGAATCCTTTGTAAAATAGCTCTATTAACACGCACATAAAAAGATCATGCAAACCACGTAGCAATAGAAACAGGTCAGTAAGTGATGCACCCAAAGAAACATGGAAATCTGACACTTGCTCCAGAGAAAAAAGAATCAGAAGAAGAAGGTTAGCTTCTAGTCAATAACTGAACTGAAGAAGAAAGGCAAAAAATCATCATAATCATGGCATGAAAATACTGACTTGAAGACAGGGTTGGAAGACTATGTAGATGAACTTCCATCAAAATATATTCTGAGGATCTAAAGTTTGAGCTGATAAATAAATAGAAGAAGGCCTCACTAAAAGGCCTGAAGAACGAAAAATACATGCAAAAAATCTTTGAGGAGTGCTTTTATTTCGCAAAGTATTAACTACAACCTAAATGTCAGGACAAATGGGAAGAAGTAAGAATTCTAAAATGAACACCCTGTAACAACACACTGGATCCCTAAAGCATAACAGAAATGGATTCAACAATGCATATATTACATATCTGGGGGAAAATGGGAATACGTTCAACAGAAGCTTCATCAGGACTAGTGCTGCCTGGTAAATCTTACTCTTCAGACAAAAATGGAAAAATTTGTGAATAAGAACTGGCTTGTTCATGAATAGAAGAAATTACCAATCCATTCTATTGACAGCCAAGAAAACACGATATTCGCTAGGGTCACCTCAAAAGACATGTCATGGAAGTCCCTGCACACCAGGGGAGGAATACTGAAATCAGCCTTCAATATAATTCATCATGGAAAAAAAAGATCGGACAATGTGAACATCACTACTGTCAAAAATAAATCTAAGTTATGGATAGAAAGCAGGGCTTATGTAAGAGCCCATGATTCATGCATATTAGGTCACATAAAGGTGGAAGAGTGGAGAATTATGGGTAAGTGATGCATGCTATCCAATAAGCAAAAACATTCAAATTTTGAGTTACTTTTTGCTGACAGTTTAAGTTGAAACACAACAAGGAAAGCCTTTTATTTCAGATGTAAGACTGCCTGATTTAAATTATTTCTTCACAAGTAGAGTGCATGATATGGTATATAAACTAAAATATTGTATTCTACAGATTATCATCAATGTTAAGCTTATAAGATAAACTATGATTTTTTCCCCATAAGTAGTGTATTTTATTTTTACTGGGGGGTGCTTTGATATGTTTATCACACATGTTAAATGATTTACACCTATCAATAGACCTGTTATTTAATGATTATATATATATGTGTGTGTTTCTACTTAAAACTATTTTTGAAGAACTAACACTGGACACTTTAAGTTTAATGTGATGTTTTATTTGTTCCACATTGATATCACAATAAATTATTTCAACTGCTAAAAAATATGTAGTCATATACAGGTTAATAGCTTTTCATCAATTTACTTTCTTTTCTATTGTGCAGTTATTAAGAACGTAAATGTTTTGTAAACCATTAATTCCTAAGCACATCTCCAATTTCTTTTTTACCTTCAACATAATTCACTTTAGCTAACAAAAAATACCCAAAAATGTTTTTTGAAAAGTTTGGAATCAATAAGTACAAAGTTGGAATCTTATATGTATAAAACAATGATTGCAGTAAATGAAAGAAATGAGTTGATTAGATTTTACAACAGCTATTCTGAAACGTTTAGATCAGAACACAAGCAGATCTATTAATTACTGACACAGGTTTATTTTCCTATATACTTTAAGACTCCAATCACCTTTTTTTTATAATACAAATTTATGCCTTATAAGTTTCGAACTACACATTTACCTACTTCTTATTGAGACAGGTTTAGTTCCTGTATATAAATAACTAAAAACTGACTCAACATTTGCTTACACAGTTGTATAATTATATAACTATTTGTTACTGACAATTTTATTTTCTGCATGCTTTTATGACTAAAAGCTGACCCAACATTGCTGAGTTTTATAACCATTATTTACTGACATGGGTTTATTTCTGCCATTTTTTAAGATTAAAAGTAGACACATCATTTTTTGACTCTTAGTATATAACCATTAGTTACTAACATGAGTTTATTTCTTGCAGATTTTATGATTAACAGTTGACCCATCCTTTACTTACTCAGCTATATAAGAAAATGTCACAGAAAATGTTTTATTTGAAAAGGATTTTGAGACAACGGGTTCAACTATTTGTTACTGACAAAAGTTAATTTATGTATCTTTCAAGAGTAAAAGTGGACTCATTATTTATTTATAAAGGTATACATTCACAGGTTACTGACCCAGTTATGTTTGGTAGAATTTCATTAAGGTTTAGGCCTAGGCAAGTGTGACATTTTTGTCCAATTCAATTTGTTTAATATCATAGCCATTGCCAATGATGAATAGAGCCTCCGAATAAAAAAAGTTTGTTCATTTATAAGCTGAGGCCCAAAATTAACGTTCTCAATTCAGCAAGTACATTACAGTTAATTAAAGCTTTAAAAATGTAGTAAACAGTAAATGTATAGGACTATAATTTTACCTACTACATGCTCATAGCTTTGTTCCTTTATAGTATAAATAGATAACCTAGTTATTACTGAGATAGACTTGTTTCTTGTAGGTTTTAAAACTATATGTTGGTAGTTTTATCACTATAGGTGAAAATTTATTTCTTGTATGCTCTAAAAACATATGTTATTCATTAGCTATTGTATGAAGTTAACATCCATTAAGTTTAAAGACTTACAACTGACTGATCTGCTTGTTTCTATAAATGCCAAAATGTTGGTGTCCCAGACTTTCTAAGGATAGCCATTTTTATTACTAACTGTATAATAAAAACATGTCACGGGCAAGCTATACTATCTGTTCTGTATATTGTTGTTCTGTTTACTGACTATTCTATTGATTTGTTATATAGTAATATTTTCTCTTTCTTAAACAATATGATCACCTTGTTTGTTTACATAAAGCAATTTAGTATGTCAGTAAAGTATTATCATGTCTTATAACTATAAAATCAGTACTCCTGCAAAACAAAGCAAAAGGTAAAGAATGAAGCTTGATTAATTTCAACCACAGTTTTTCCTTGTCTTCTGAACCCCTTGCAAGACTATTTATCATGAAAAAAAATTAATTTAATCCATTGTTATATGGCAGTAAGTTAGTAAGAAAATATAACTTTTGGGAAATTTAATGCATGCATACACATTCCACTGATGTATGTTTTCTCAGGTTTACTACACAGATATTCTGTTTATGTACCACTTCTGAAATGTCGTAGATACACATTCCACTGATGTAATGTTCATAAAATGCAATTCCCTTATTTTTTGTATGTTTTCTCAGGTTTACTACACAGATATTCTGTTTATGTACCACTTCTGAAATGTCATAGCTACACATTCCACTGATGTAATGTTCATAAAATGCAATTCCCTTATGTTTCACTAATGTATGTTTTCTCAGGTTTACTACACAGATATTCTGTTTATGTACCACTTCTGAAATGTCGTAGATACACATTCCACTGATGTAATGTTCATAAAATGTAATTCCCTTATGTTTCACTAATGTATGTTTTCTCAGGTTTACTACACAGATATTCTGTTTATGTACCACTTCTGAAATGTCGTAGATATACATTTCACAGATATATTGTGTATTTGAAGTGTTATAAATACATATACCACTAATATATTGTGCAACTGAAGTGTTATGAATACATGTTCCATTGATATATTGTGCATCTGAAGTATCATGGTTACATGGTTCACTGATATATTAGGTGAAATGTCTACATTATCTACTGATATACTATGTATAGAAAATGTCGTTTATGGCTACATGTCACATTAATATATTTTCCTTTCTGAATTACAATATCTAGACATTCCACTGAAGTATTACGTTCCTAAGGTGTACAGCCTAAATACCTCACAATTGTATAATATGTTTTCAGTGTATTAACTACACATTCTGCCAATTACCCATATTCACTGTTGTTGGTGTAAGATACAAAGTTAACAGATGCCTAGTCTTCTGGTAAAACTGAATATATTGAAAGTATATATATATGAGAATAAAGTAATCCATAAATAAAAGAAAAACTTTTCACCAAAATAAAACTTAAAATGATATGTTTATCAACAAATAATACTCCTTTCTCATGTCTTCTTTCTTTCTTGCATCCTTTACTTATGCCTATTAGCACCATGGTAGATGCAAATGTTTTTGCAGGGCAAAGTGTAACATTTTAACAGTTGTTAATCACATTTTCAGCTGTTTCTCTTGACACAATATATTGAATACTTCCTTGGCTTTCCTCTGTTTCCTGTTAGTTGTAAGTTATGTGCTTCTGTTGACTCATTGTTCCAAGTGACTGAACCATTTCAATCTCTGCTTTTCTATATTTTTCAGTACTGTTCTCATTCCAAGCCATTGTCAAATTATTTTGTTTATTTGGTCTGGTCTTATTGTCCACTCTACAGAGTTATCTAATTTGACATGATGTTATTATTTGTTTGATTTTCTTACTGACAGTTCATGTCTGGCATTGATATGTTAGTGTTGGTGTAAATACAATGCTTATAAGTGTTCTCTATGTTTCTAAAGGGATGTTTGTTTTATCATGTTTATCAAAATATAACTCATTCTAAATGTTTAACATATTCATCAGTAGATAGCAATCTAGAAAAGCAGTGTAATGGCACATAACAGATTTATATGTTTAGCAATACATAGATAAATACAGTATGACATGTTTAGAAGTTGGATTAACCCCACTGGACATTATGTTGACTGAAAAAATAATAACCTTGTATTATCTAGTAAAACATTTATCAACTGATAGTCTTTGTGATAAAATTAGCCTCAAACAAAATTACAATGCTGGACATCATCTCTATGAGGAAATAGATCACAAGTAATAACAAACATGGGATTTTTGTTACCAGATCATTAATGACTCATAAATACTAAATGTCCAAAACAGTCTTTGTCAGAACTAGCCCATAGTGTCCAATATAAACATTACCAGATTTAATTTCACAAATTAAATGTCTTTATGGCAAACATATATTTATCTCATCGCCACAGAGCACCTCAAGTGTGCATTCTTTGAACATCCATCTGAACACTGTCAGATTTAATTTCAGAAACCAAATGTTTTTATCACTTCACAAACATTTATCAATCTCATCGCTACAGAGCACCTAAAATGTGCAATCTTAGAACACCCATCAGAACACTGCCAGATTTAATTTCAAAAACCAAATGTTTTTATCACAAACATATATCCACCTCATCACTAAAGAGTACTTTAAGTGTACAATCTTAGAACACTAATCTGAGATGCAACTTATACGCATATACTTAAATTCTAAAATTTTCTATGTTACATAAGAACAACTGCTGTGAGAAATAAAACTCGTTGATGTGTTGTTTAACAACAAAAGAAGTTATGGCGTTTTGTTAAACCTTCTCTAGACAATGCAGCCCATCCTTCAAAGTTACTGTTTCATTACGTTGTAATTACAATACCTAACAGTACATTGTGCTCTTTGGCTATAAAGACTTCATGCAAAATGGTATTAGCACTAACTACAGAGTATACAACATATTTCTTTCCAGTATTTTTGGATCTAATGACTTACAAAATAGTCATGGAGGCTGAGCCACACGTGGCAACTGAAGTCTTCTCTGATAATCAAATGTTTTTCAGTGTTTAATACAATACAAAAAATAAATATAACTTTGGATCATGTAAGTTACAAACCACAACACGACTGATATCCAATCACCAGAACTTTGTCATAAGTATTTCTTTAACCAATTGAAATAATCTCACCAATTCATCTCTGGTAGAAACTAACTTCACACTGTTTTCTTTTTCCCTTCTTTTTTTCAAGCTGGAAAGTTTCTTGTTTAATATATGTGTTTCTACACACTTCAAGTTAGGAATTATTAATATGGTGTCTTCTTTTTTTCTAGCAATGTCTTCTATAACAATTTCATACATTTGTTTTAGAAACTAGACTCTGTAAACACTTTTTCTCTTACACCTAACATTAGTTAAAACATGAAAATCTTTTTATCAATCCAAAACCATAAAGTCGAATCTTGTATGAAAACAGTTTGTGCTTCTATATAGCCCTACTTTAAAAAGCACCATGGGTACGTATACTAGTAAAGATAAGTTAGATTAATGAAATAGAGAAGTATAAATTTTTTAAGTTGGAAAGCTTCAATTGCAGAATGAGAGAAAAATTTAATAATAATAATAATATTAAAAAAAAAAAAGCTAAAATTGTTCGATTTTCCCATGCTAAGAAATATTTGGAACTTCTGGCAACAATAGAAGAAATGCCTCATATCTGTTCTTAAAGCAAGATAATGTTTTTAGAACATGAGCAAGATCATTAGGTTGTCTGTTCATTTACCTGACAGAAACCCACTGATGTATTGTGAACTTAATCAGTTGAAGTGTACAGCTTACATACACACAACTATCCAATGTGGTGTAACATAACTATACATCCAGCTGAAAGACCGAGATGTTATGTAATCATATGGTACATCAAAATAACAGTCATCCAGTGAGATGTCCCATAATCAGTACATCTTTTAGACAGCCATATAGTAAAGTGTTCCATAATGAATACATCTACTGGACAGGCATCCAGTGAAATGTCCCATAATCAGTACATCTTTTAGACAGCCATATAGTGAGGCGTTCTATAATCAGTACATCTACTGGACAGGCATCCAGTGAAGTGTCCCATAATCAGTACATCTTTTAGACAGCCATATAGTGAGGCATTCTATAATCAGTACATCTACTGGACAGGCATCCAGTGAAGTGTCCCATAATCAGTACATCTTTTAGACAGCCATATAGTGAGGCGTTCTATAATCAGTACATCTACTGGACAGGCATCTAGTGAGATGCCCAATAATCAGTACATCTAAGGGATAGATATTCAGTGAGGTGTCCCATAGTTAGTACATCCGATGAAGAGTCCCAAAGTTGGTATACCTATTAGACAGGATCCACTAATGTAATAATATATTTAATACACCCAACTGACAGGTACCCATTGAGATGTTACATTTATATTCTCTATTGCTTTTTCCAAAGTCTCTATTGTTTCATCAATGTTGTTATTAACTATCGTCATGTCAAATAAATGACCATAAGCCTGACGAAGAAGTTCACTCTCTTTAGCAAGACGTTCCAAGCTTCCATCAGTCTGGGCATGAAAGAAACAATTCTAATTTTATCACAACAAAGTCTAGCCACTATAAAAAGAAACTGTAAAAAGAAACATATGGTAGGATGAAAACTTCTCAAATTATAATATTCATTTAATCCAACATGCATAAAAAAAATCAAAGTGATTGATTAAAAAACTGTAACAAATTAACAAGTAAGTTAAAAAAATGCTTGTAAAACATACACTGTAGCACTTCATATTTAGTATTAGTAAAAATCAATTTTCCATAGAACAGCAGTAATTTACACATTTGTAGCATGTGATAAAAAGCTTTTTGAACAAATATTTACCTCAATGCTCCTCTCTCTTTACTTTTTTGGGTAATTAATATGAAAGCCATGATTTTAAGACTACTGTTTTGTAGAAACCATATTTTAATAAAGAATTGTAATACTTAAACTTCTAAAAGCTAATTCACGAAAGAGGGACTATTATCTAAGACTAAATTACCAAAACAAATTAACAAAATAATACAATACTGCTGCTTCATAAGACTTAACAGAACAATCTGTAAGAGGCATTTACAGAATCTTGTCTTTTTGTGGATGAATTCTTAATAACTTTCCTTCTTTTGTGTGCTCATCATTAAACATAACACAATTAGTACATTAATAATTTTCCACCTGCTTTCTGCTAAACCTATCACAAATTTCCAATAGTTAGCATCTTCCTCATTTGTTATGGTATTGATAAAAGCTCCTACACTTTAACGTCTGATTCTTCTTAAAGATGAAGTCCTCCTAATGTACTTTATTAACAGGTTTTAGGCAACTGTTTTAAATGATATTTTGAGCAATTTTTCTATACCATTTGTCACTATGCCACATACACATAAGCACTTTACACTATAAATTTTCAGATTAGCAGTATCCTTGATTTAACAACAAGTGGCAGGGTGTAATTCAAACCAAGGGCATGATATCAATATTGCATGGCAATACTGGTGCACCACCAACTTTAAGAGACTGTGCTATGCATTACCAATATATTTTGGCCTGTTCCTGAAACTGTTCCATTACTGGAATGCTGTGTTAGCATATTTCCATTCCCTCAATAGCCCAATGCAACTATGAAAGTTCTCTCTCTATGTTACTGTAAAAGTATATTAGTCATACGTGTGTTTCTCGGAACTGTCATTGGCTGACGTAGTAGTCTATCTACAATTTTAGCCAATGAGGAAGCTTCTTATCATTCCTAAACATTTTCGTCCAAAAGCAGTCAACAAAGCAGGGAGAAATTTAGTTTTATAGTTCATTTATCTGTTGCTAAAGTGTGAAGTTTTATCATATACGACTTTTTAAAATTATTAATTCATGACAATATATTTGACTTTTGTGATACTTCCTTTTAATTTATGGTATTAATTTTGTTTTGTTTGTAATGAAGCACAAAGCTACACAATGGGCTATCTGTGTTCTGCCCACCACGGGTATCGAAACCCGGATTCTAGCGTTGTAAGTCTGCTGACATACTGCTGTGCCACTGGGGGGGGGCTTTATGGTATTAATCAGTACTTCGTGTTTACGAAGTATATTTAACAACTTAAATTTATTTTTAGGCAGAATAAAAGTAATATTGTTTTTTAGATTCAGAAAAAACTTTGTTTTTTCATTAATGTTGTTGATTTCAGCCTTGAACAATTTAGAAGCACACTGAGATAAGAATATCAGTTTCACCTGAACATATTTTATGCCAAGGACAGCCTCAGATTTCATATTAGAACACCTTAAATCTCTCTAGTTTCCACATCAACTTAGTTTTTCTCAACAAGGATGCAGCTCATTTTCTGGTGCACCACCAACTTATGGAGATACTATGTACCACTAAATCCATATACAGTATATTTAATTAGCTATACTCATTATTAAGTTGATTTTTATTTTTAACCACAGTAGGTAACTTGCTGTGATCAGAAGTTAATATTAAAGTTACTACATTCAGCATACAACAGTATGCAGAATTATTATGTGGCATAGTTTATGTGATCTTATTTGCCATGGTTTTACAACTTCATTCCTGCTCATATTTATAGCCCCATACATGCAAATAAAATTTTTTTTATTCTACTTTCATTAACAGTATTGATTAGAATGTTTAATATATCTATTTTTTATCATCATATTTTTACTATAGCGATTATTTTGCATTATTAACTTAGTACATGGATTAAGGACTAAAACTAAATCTCCCAGGCCAACAGAAACTTGCAAGACATTACAAGGTTAATGGCCAAAATTATAATTGACAGCAAGGGAACCCAACTAATGAAAAAATGTGTTTTAATATTTAATTAGCTGTACTTATTACTGATTTGTTTTTATTTTTGACCTAAGTGGGTAGCTTGTTCTGATCAGAAGTTAATATTAATATTACCACATTCAGAATACAATCCTCTACACATTAATCATGTGGTACAGTTTATAACACCTCATTTGCCATGGTTTTACATTAATTCCTGTTCATATTTAAAGCACCATGTTAACAGTTCTATTATTCAGCTAATGCTTTCACTAATCTTGAATATACTTTCAACTTAATGCCTAATGTAATATTTGATTTAATGTAAAAATATACAGAAGTGTAAAATTGCATGAATAATTAACAATATAAATATTATTTACTGGTAAGAAATCAATCTCTTCATGCTGTACAAAAACAACAGATAAATACAGTACTTACATCAGTCATTGTAGATAAAGATGGTGCTGCAATGAAGACTACATAAGGTGTGTATTCTGCTGTTCTCAAGATTTTTAAAGCCTGTGAATAAAGAAATTGAAATACGATGATAATTCTGAAAGTGAAAGAAAAAATACTGCAATTCTCATAAAATTCTTTATTTTAGTTCTTTTTTATTTTGAAGTCAATGAGTATATTTTGGATGTAACACCTTACCCTCACTAGTAATAGAGGTTTGTAATTTATTATTGGTCTTTAGCTAATCATTTGCCAATCAGTTTCAAATCAAGTCTGGTTCATGATCTAAGTACTTATTACATGATTTTTCAGGAATACAATAATTCTTTCTGATTGTGGAAATTTCCAAATATTCTCTTCTTCCAATAAGAATGTAGTATGCCATATCCCTAAGGACATTAAATTATTAACTTGTTTAATTTTGTACATTTCAAGCATATGTATTAACTGAAGGATATTTACATTTATTTATTCTTAATACATTGCAGCATCTAGTGTTAAGGATGTCAAAGTTTGGTAAAGTAATAACCATGTCTTTATACTAGCTTAACCATTTGCAGATGTATTCTATTTTCACTAGGTGAACATTTGTACTTAACTTACAATCAAAACTCAATACTGTAAGAGCTAACATTATTCTGTAAAGTAATTTAAATTTGATAGGACCATCACATGGGAGCACAGTAATCTTTAGGTCAAACCTAGCTTAAAAAAACTAGAGATTTGGGAATAAAGTATACAAAAGGATGAGTGCAGTGATTTTACACAGGTACAATGAAGAGGACAATACATGTTGGAGTCAAAACAAGCACCCTCGGTAACAAAGGTTAAAGACTGATCACTAAAATGGCAGAATGTTGCATTGTGATAAAGTCAGAGAAGAACAAAAAAAAAATGAACTGCATCAATAGAAATGGGAGATAAAGGAAAACTGTATTAAATCAAAGAAAAACCAACATCTAATAGAAAATAAAGATTAGTCTCTATGTATGATCAACAGAAGTTAAAAGATTAATATGCAGGTAAGACTTCAATAACATTTTCTGGCTCCTTCAAAACTGAAATAAATTTTCTCTCTCTTCAAGGTCAGAAAGAATCTAATTTTAGGGTGTCAAAACAACTTTCACAGAACACTTCTCTCTGTAGCTGACCAATCAGAAAACAGGCAATGGATCTGACAAAAGCCATGCATGAAGACGGATTGTGGTGAGATCTGAATGAATAATGTCTGTCCGAGGTTGATGATGTAGAGACCGAGGCAGGGGTAAGGGTAGGTAAGGTTGTACAAATCTGAGCAGTGGGAACCATGGAGGTGACCAATATGGAACCACCAGTAGGACTAGACTTGGAGTGGTTTGGATTAGGGATAGAACTCTGAAAAAGAGTCAAACAGGTGGGTAAGCATAGATGTGAAGACCCCCTCCAATCTTGACTGAATATATCCATCCCCAGAGTCAGCAGGTGTGGAATGGGAAACCAAAAGGAGGGAGTTTGGTGTACCAGTGGGTGGGAGAAGCACATAGGAGGTGTCCCCAGCTGGTAACACACCCACTGAAAAATTTGTGAAACTAGGGACCACTCAGTGGGGAGAATCTTGTAAGGACAAGATAATTGATCTGCAATCAGATTCAGGGTGCCAGGAACATAGCAAACTAAGACCACAATGCGATAACTGTTGGCCCAGAAAAGCACATCCAGGGTCTGAAAACACAGAGATCTGGAATTGATCCACCCCTGCTTGGTGATACAAGTGACCACTGTGGGATTGTTGGAGAGTACTATAACCACCCTCTCCCACAGGAGAGGAAGGAAGTGAGGCAAATCTTGATGATCCACTATAAGCTCGAAAATGATGATATGGAGAGAAGACTCCTTGATCGACCAGAGACTGGAAATCTCCAGGGAGACAAGGTAAGCACCCTAATGCTCCAAAGATGAGTCAATGAAGAGATGTAAATCTGAACAAGGCAGAGGAAGCAATGCCCCATTGTGGTCTCATATCTGTCTAACCACCAAGCCAGGTAGGCTCTGGTCAGGGAATAAAGGGTAAAAGGGAAGTCTAAGGAATCCAAGTAGAAATTCCACTGATCTAGGAGTTCCCACAGAAGGGAACACACATACATATATGAACACAACTGATGGGAATGAAATCTTCCAGGGAAGTCCACGTCCCCAAAAGAGATAGAACCTCTTGAGCCGTGAGCTGAGGGCCTTGCAAGCTGCTTATTCCATATTCTGAAGTCGAGGAGGAGAAAGCTGGACCCAAATCAGGGAGAAATGAAGAAAATTCCTAAAGAAACTGGGAATTGAATGGGGGGGGGGGTAATAACAGACTTCTCCTTTTCATCCAGAATCCTACCTATACTGCTTCTTGCTTCTGGATTGTGAATGGGAAGAAGCGAGCAGGAGCCATTTATCCATGTAATGATGACTGCAAAGACACACTGAGTGAAGATGTCGGGCAAGAGTTTATGCCACACAACAAAACACTTAAAGAGCAGAGGTTAGTTCAAATGGCAGGGACTTAAACTGAAACACTCGACTTCAAGCAATAAATAACTATTGATGATGTGGGTACTGTGGGGATGAACCCTGAATTGTAGATTACGAGGAGAAAAGTTGGTTTCTAGTATCAAGAATGTAGGAAAAGGAGCCGAAGCAAAGCTCATCCCTACAAACAGGAAAAAAACAAACACATCAGCATGTAGCAAAGTAAAAAGAAATAAAAATTTAAGTCCTACACTGATGAAAATTAGGATTATAAGGAACATACTTAACAATTATGAAAACAATTACCCAAATAAAACAATGAATCAGATGTTACTAGCAGTAATAATATGTAATGTACAAACTATCCAAACATACCTTGTGAACAAAGGACTGATGAATATCAAACTGACAAACCATCCAAATTTACCTATTCCACAAAGTATGGAATAACAATGAACGTGCAAGCCGACTACAATTATCAAAAAAACAAAGTGATAATGAAAATCTAACTTACAATTCATCTAAGTTAATTTAGACTACAAAGGACACATACACAAGTCCAACACTGACAGTAATTAGGATTATAAGACACATATCTAAAAATGGCAAGAAAAAAAATAGACAGATGAAGCAATGAATCAGATGTGGCTAGTAATAACTATATATAACATCCAAACTATCTAAACATACCTAGTTAAAGTACTTATTAATATCAAACTGAAAAAACCTTGAAATGTACAGAATCTAAAAAGTACCTAATATTAACGAACATGCAAAACAACTAAAATTGCCAAGAAAAACAAAGTAATAATCAATATCTAATTTATAGTTTAACTAAATTAACTTAGACAACAAAGGACACATAAATACCTAACTTACCAAAGTCCGAGCACTGATGATGTGAAATACCTAATTCTCCCATGTGTAAAGAAGGACAAAGCCACCCAAAGTGCATATGAACTGTGCCTACTACAGGTATATCCACCAGGTGTGAAGTGTATAAGTCCAGAAACTTACCACAGATCCACTGGGAGAACTGAAAGCAATAGGAAAAAAGGAGGAGAAGAACAAACATTCACCAAAACAGGAACAGGAAAATGAAATCACCCTCGTCTCAAATATACAGCAAAACCAGAATATATGTTGACCTGATTAACAAGCTGTAAAAATGTGGAAGGGGAAACTCATGAGGAGGTGTAGAATGTGAGAGACCAAAATAAGAAGGTGTTGTAAAAGGAGAGTCCAAATAGTCTTCTCCTTGATTGTATTCTTCCTCAGGAACATTGTCAAGTTGAAAAGAAGAAATCGCTGGCCGAACATACGAATCTAGCTCCCTGCAAATTGAGGCCTGTGCCTCCTCTTCAGATAGAGTCGAACATGATTCTTGGGAAGTTATATCAGTAGCTTTTCGACTGTAATGGGAATTTCTGTACTTAATACATTGAATCGTGAATTCATACTAAGTTCGTTTATAATTCGGTAAAAAAAAACAAATGGAAATAAAAATTGTTGAAACAACTGAATGCAAACCCAGTAAAATAAAAATGTTGAAAAAAAAAACATTTGAAATGGTAAAGAAGCAAAACCATAATCGGTATCCACATGCAAAAAAAAAACACTTGTCTAAACAATGCTGTGCCAATCAAGAAAGTGAGGATTGAGCGGGAATAGCAGAGGGAGCTAGCTGCACCAACATAGGTGGCACTATTGGTGGAGAGTAGTCACATGATATGTACACGTTAAAAAATGGCATGAAACTGATTGGGCACATAGATTGGTGTGCTGAGTACAAAACTTTTTAGCAACGTTTAGAGGACAGAAAGAAGATTGAGATATAGCTTTTTGTGAAATAAGGTAATACCATATCAGAACTATATCTGCTATATCCAGGGCTGATCAGACTTTTTGATCAACACCAGGGTTCTTCAGGCCAGATGATATAAGACATACTATACTTATATTAGCAAATTGATCGACAACTACTGTTAAGGTGTGAACTGGGTTAAGTTTTCATCAAATTTATTTACCTCACAACATGGGTATAGACTTTAAGGCTACCTAAATTTTATTTGGATTTGACCTGATAAAATCAGAGAATCTTGTAGGTAATTTTATGTTTGTTTTTAATTTGTAAATATAAATGTTTTTTTAAGTTAAAGGATAATTACTTTTATATTACAAAAACTGTGTATATACGAGGAATATATTAAATATACAGTGCAGATTTAGACAAGATAAATTACATTCCACCATGTGATACAACATATACAAACAAATTAATATAGTTTAATTTTACTTTTATCAGATCATCATATAATTTACTGGATTGATGATTTTCTCTAGGAATGTCACAAGAAGACTAATTTTTTTTAATTGCATTAATAAACACTGGATTCATTTTAAACAATCATTATCTTTAATAGGAATGACATTAATTTTACATATGAATAGTGATTTAGAGATTATGATTTCATACCAGTTAAATTTCAAAATGGCATTTTTACAAACTTCATATTAAAAATATTAAGTTATGTTTTTTCACAAATTCATTTAGTAAACAAAGATTATAAAATTTCACATTAATTCATTTACTAAAAGAAACTGACATGCAAACTAACACAAATACAGTATAAAGTATTAGTAACCAGAAAACACAGGTGGACAATAAACTGACAAAAAAGAAACTTGGGAAACTTGGTAATTTATTCATTCACATGACTGCATCCAAAACACCCTGAATGTCCACTGTGAACCTCAATGTCAGGAGTGTATACAGTTAATCAGCCACAATAACCTAGCCAGAAAGTTTCCCTAATAAGATCCAAACATTTCTTGGATATCAAGGGAAGTGCAACAACATGGCTTCCATCAACTAAGTGGGATGTGAAAGAGTGATACAATATATTTTACAAAGTAACAACTCTATCAAATCTGATAATTATTAGACATTTCATACAAGATTGAAAACCATTATCTATAAAGAACTGAGAAATGAATACTACTAGTAAGAAGCTATTAAGAAGAAGAGTACAAGTAATGAGCTTTCATAAGACATTATCTTAACTTTTCAACTTGGAATCAAAATGCATGGTCTACTTTTTTGTTCTACTCTGGTCCTAAAACAAGCAAGTATGAAAAACTACAATCTTACACGTTAAGTAAAAAGAAAAATCATTCAAAGACTGACCAGAATTATTAACATCAAAACCACCATGATCTGAGTTCATATCCTCTGAAGATGATACAGCAAGATATCCATATTAACATAGCAAACAATTTCATTAATAGCACAGTAGGTACCTATTGTATATACTTGATACAGAATGAAAGTGTTGTGTAACATGTCACATACAAAACAATAAGAAAAGCTTATGATACAAAGGAATGAAAAGCAAAAGCTACTACTTATGTGCATCTCAACTATTATGTTATGAACAAAATTTTATGAATTCTTACCACTTAAGTTCTAGAAGAATATTTCTTGTTTTTACAAAATTATTCAAACTAGATTATTTTTTCAGTGAACCAGTACATTAATTATAGTAGTCAGATAATCCATAATACCAAAAACCTCTCATTAGTACATTTATTCCTTATATATATATATACATACACACACATACAATTAAACTCACATAGTGTGCTTTATTAAGAAAAGGCAAAATACTTATTTGTTTTGTATGTAAAAAGTTATCAAACTTTATAAGGATGATTTACAAATGCAAGTAAAATGGCATATCATCACAGTTGCAAGCTGTAGTGCCACAAGCAACGTGTTTAGCATCTATATTTCTTGTTGACAGTGAAGATTTATAACTGGAAAAATATGCATTACCCTTTCCAAAGAAGAATAACAAGATTGTTAAATGATTTAGAATCAAAGAACAGAAGACTTCAAAGTGAGATTTCTATGTTCTTCATGGATACAGAAAAACCTTACACGGTAGCAGAGTGATTAGAGTAAGAAAGAACACCAAAACCATACTAGCTGAAATGATAAACAAGAATGTGATGTTGATGAAAGCTCACAGAAGCTTGAGCCCCACCTTGAAATCAATGACTGATATACCTATTAAGCCAACACTGCAGCTTTAATAGACTTTTGTGCTTTTGATCTACTTAAATATTGTCCTTAGAGTTGACATCCACATATGGTGGAAGGGTTGGGTTGTGGAAAATGTCAAGCATATGGTCTAAGACTGGCTTTTCCATCCTTCACAGAAGTTTGTTACATTAGAAATTGAAGCATCAGGCAGGAATGCATAATCATGGCCACCAGACTGAACATAACTTAGATTGAAGGAAGTAGTTCCAATGGCATTATGGAACCTGAAACATCATTTTCACAAAGTGCAATTAACCTTCAGTGTGTGTAACATTATTCTATTTTTAAGAAACTTTTTCTCAGTCACCTGTGGTTCTACATCAAGGATAGCTATCTTTTCTTCCTGATGAATTCTTCTTATTGTTTCTAGCTTTGTGCCATACATTGCATCATCATGGGTGCCATACTCCAAGTATTCATTACCTGCAATGTCAGCCATCATTTCATCATTAGAAACAAAGAAATAATTCTTTCCATTTTCTTCAACTTTTCTTGGAGGTCTTGTGGTGTCTAAAAAAGTCAAACAAACTATATAAAAATCAACAAAGATGTATCTTACAAGAATTTCAAAAGAAAAACACAACATAAATATTTTTAGTTACTGAATTGAGAAATGCAGCTTGTCAAGAAACATAGTTTCTGATGTTGGTTTTCCATACAAGTGAGATTTAAAAGCTGTGTTTGAGCTTTTACAATAGCCATAACCATAAAATAAAATACAGTGAAATATCAGAAGAAAAGTTTTTTTTGAATGACAAGTATTTTTCAGTAATTATTATAACACAGGCAATAGTCTATTTTTCATGATATGGTTTGTACTTCAAAATAATCAACTAATTACAATAAAAATTAAAACAATGTTTTTTCTATATTTTTGAGAATGAAAAACCCATTTAACATTAGTGTATATTTTTCACCCTCATAATTAAACCTATTCTGATAATATAAGTTTCAAAATATATATTTACAGTTATTCAAGCCAAAGTAATCTTTAGGATAGTCAGTTATAAGTGTTCTATATAAGCTTTCATAATCTGCTTACATTCTCTTTCATTCAAAACATGAAAGTTTTGCAATAACTTAAGAAAATACATGCAGGAACACTTACGTGGAATGGGATATGCATATTTGTTTGGATGATTGGCTATCAATGTGTTCTTAATGTGTCTCCTACCCACACCATGAGCACCTATGGGAAACCAAAATACAAAAATGGATATATATATATATATAAATAAATACACACAAAAATCACAAATAGTATAAGATTGTCCTAGTAAATCTATATTGCTGTGGAAAATCTTTTTGTTTTCTATAATCACTGAATAGATAAATCTGTCTCTCTCTCTTGCAGAAACACATGTGTCAAAGCCATGCAAGTTCATAAACCTTTTAATAATTGCATTATATATATTTTATGTATATTCTGTAGTAGAACCTTCACTAATTGCATTTTTCAGCAGAAATATAGTGATCAAATGTTCTTGTAAACTGTTTACAATTAAATGTGATAAAAAATTCAAAACTTACCTAAAAGTACCAAAGTTTTGCGTTTGAAAGCTGGAAGCTTAACAACTTCTTCATAAGTTACTAAATCTAGCTGATCAAAAATGGCATTATGTTTTGCTAGATACTTGTCTTTATAGTGTTTCTTTTTCCTCCCAAATATTGAGCAATTTACTGTCAAAAGAAAAAGATGAAATTAGTAAGAACTACTATACAATAATGCTGCAGAAAGTATAGAAATTCTAAGATGTACTAGGTAAACACTCACTTAATAAGTGCAGTGTGTAGTGAGATACGACACACACACAAGAAGCATGGTGTAAAATTAGAAAGGGAAACTGAATACTAATGCACACAGTAAATAATAAACATGTCAATAACTGCATTGTACAATAAAGTAAAATGTATACACACACTAAAAAAGCATGATGTAAAATCAGAAACAAGGAGTGTCTATTTCTGCATACACTAAGGAACAAACTAACTAAGAAATAACAACTCTAAAAAGTACAAACAGATACAGAAACAGATACAAATATACTAAGTATTGAGAATAATAAAGAACAAAAACCTGGAAGCACCAAATAACAGAGATTGTGTAAACACAGAAATAGAGACCATTAACAAACATTAAATATGACAGACATATAGCATAAAATAAGGAACAACCACTTTAAGAAGCCTTTTACACATCAAGGAAATGGCACTGTGAAGTGTTTATTTAAAATAGGGTACAGACATTACTGTGTATAGCAGGAAACAGAAACTTTAAAAGTACTTTCTAAAGGAATGAACTCATACTTCAAGTAGTATAATTATTAAACAGAAATGTTACTGCATAGAGCAAGATACATTTCTGGAAGTATGGTTAAAAATATGAAATATTATTCCATAAATTCAACAACGTTGCAAATCTGTTATTAAAATGAACAAGTATTAAGAAAAGTAATATTCAGTAAGTATGGGATATATTGAGTTAAATTCACTTCAGATATCAAGCATTGTAAAATAAATAGCTTGATTTTCATAACTGAAATTTTAATTAATCAAATACTGTGGAATGAACAAAAAAAATTGAAAATTCCTTGTCAGCACCTTGGTAATTCTTACTCCTCTCCATTGCCATGTAAGCTGTTCTCCATTCCTGAAGCTCTGGAGATGGAATGAGTCCAGCTGTGCTGTCCAAGCCTTCCTTCTTGGCTTGCCACCAGTTGTGGTCGTCCTTACTAATAACTTGAAGTATGTCTCCTATCTTGAAGGTTATGCCTGCCTGGGCACAGGGTATAAGATCATCTTCTAGAGGATTGTAGTCAAACTGAGCCCGAACGTAGATCTGTGAGCCAAGTAGGAGTGGCACATTTTTATTGTCAACAACACAAGTACTGTAACAAGGAAAATTAAGCATAACAAGCAAAACTATTCCAAAAATCCTGATCCTTTTGACTAGGTATATAAGCTCTCTTAGAGCTTGGATACTTTTTTAAGAAACATAAGTAATAATACTTTCTTCCTTCACTTTTGGAGACATTGATTCATAAACTCTGAAACTTTGATCTGAAAAGCATATAATTAAAAAAAAAGAAGATATTATTCAATATTTTTAAACCACCTAAGTATGTTTGACTCATACCTGGTTAGCGGAAGGACTTGGTCAAGAGAAAGTTCAAAGGCTAACAGAAATTACAAGGATGAATGACTTTGAACAATGTCATGAATTTTGTAATAATAAATCACAGTACACAGTACATCTGGACACACATCTATTCTTATGACATATTTCTAAATCTTCCTCTTATTTTTAGTCATCAAGTTAGAATTTCCTTTGGGATTAATTTAGTGTTGTTTTTTTATTATGATAAATAAGTATATTTCTTCATCTGAGGGGAACCTTTTTAGGAAAAGTTAATATAATAGCATTTCTTCATAATATTTTTACTAACATCACACATTAATCACGTGGGACAAACGTTAAGATTAATTTTTCTAAACAATGTCACAATTTCTTATTATTTTGCTCATTTCTTTTACTATAGCAACACAAAAACATCATTTACATAATTTCTGATTTAACACTAATTCATGAAATTCTTTATGTCCTCAAGCAAAATAAAACTTTTTTTACTCCTTTTGCTTTTTTTTTAAACATACTCTTACCAACCTCACAAATTTATAGATAAAAACTTTGGATTATTTACTTGAAGCCTGAACACATCTATTATAAACATTATATCATAAACAAATAAAATCACTTTGGTACAGCATTTGTTTAATATTTTAAAACATTGACTAATTTTTACTCGGATCTCTCTACTGTACATACAAGTAATTTATATGAACTTAATTTTAAACATGAGTTATACACTAAGTATTGCATTTTCTTCCTGTGAAATACTTAAATATTTTTGAAGACAAAGATTAATCAGAAAAATGTACTTTAAAAAAAAGCAAACTGCACTCTGTGTTTGAACAATGTGAAATACCCAGATATTAATTACTCTATATTCGAAAACTACCAGCTTTGAGTTTTGCAATAGTTCAAAAAAAATAATAAACAACAAACTTAAAAACCAGGTGTTACACAGACTGCAAAATAATGATATAGAAAATAGCAGGTTTCATTTTAAAAAATTAATGGAAACTTTAAACCCAAATAAGTAATACTCTAATATAATAATTATTTTTCCTAAAGTTACATACTGATTAACACGTTAACAGATAATTTTTTAATCATTTTTACACCATTGATAATTGTAGAAATAGCAAAAATTCTTTGATTACTATCATCAAGGCCACAATCCTTCACATATCTTCAAATTGACTATAAAATGCATGTATGGTTATAGATATTAAAATAAAGGAATGAAGAGAACCCAAGATTTAATATTTGATCTTTATAATGACATAAAATATTCCTGTAGTGAAATACGTTTTCAGAATGTTTTTCTACATATATCTGTAAATGTCTTATAATAACCATTATTAAATAGCATATCTATAAATACAAGTTCATGTTGCAAAAAAACTGTGGATTTAAATTTCAATCGTTTCATTAACTCGTCCTGAAATATACAGTTAATACAAAATTAGTATGTTAAAAGTGGTAGTAATTTCTAAATCAAATGTACAGGCAAGTTCAATCAAAGTAGTCTAAAAGTTTAATTTTTACCTTTACAAACCCATGATTTTAATTTTCTTTGTTTGTAATAAAATGGTGATTTGTTGTGTAGAATCTACATATATTTTTATTGTGTTGACCCAACAATGCAAGTCTTCTATTGAATCTAAAGTTATGCTCATGAAATAAAACTTTAGCTATGCCATTAGGTTGAACCTAGAAATTTTAGAATCTGATTAATCATCTTCTTTATAAGATAAAAACTGCATAATGATTCATGATATTGCAAGTTATCTTTCTTTGTGCCTTATGATCACTCACTTTAATATTCAACAATGATATCTTGAAACAATTTCTACACCTACATGTGAACATTGTTCTAGTGTCGCTAATGATGAAAAAAATGTTCTGCTCTGTAATTTACTGTTTAAAAACATAAAATCCATTAGTTTTAAAGGTTTTTCTACACCAACATACTTACAAGTTTGATTTCACACCTGACAAAACAATATTTCCCGTTCTGTAGATATTTACTTTTACTATCCCAACAACTACTAATTTTTATATCTATAGGTTGATACAAGTCTAATGAGTGATATGTCACTTCTCTTGAAAAACAATTTACCCTACTTTGTGGTTATTTACTTTTATCATCCTAAACTCAAAAGCATTATTCACTTTGTATACCAAGACATAATCCTAATAAGTAACAAGCAATTTCTCATGGGGGAAAAATATCTTGCTTTAGAATTATTGATTTGAATATAATACAAAAACGTTTTGCACACTTTTAACCATTTAATGACAAGTTTCTTTTCACAAAAAATATCCTCTTTTTTTTAATTTTAGCTTGATAAGTGATAATCATCATTTGAAAATTAATTCAAAAATTACTCTTGCAGTTAGAGAGAATGAATACAATTACTAATTCCCAAGTCTGACTGTTTACAGAAAATATTGGGAAGAAAAAAATTTAGGTTTGACAAATCACCACCTGGTGGTAACAGAGATTAGATATACTCCTCTTTTATTTTCAATTCTATTGCAAATAAATGAGTCACAGCCAATGAATAAGTTTAGAAAAAATTTATTGAAAATATTTATAGCAAAATAATTTTACATTAAAATCCAGTTAAAAATCTAATTTCTCTTACATAGCTACTATATAAAGAGTTTAAAATTTCAAGTACAAACTCAAAAAATTTCCCAAACACACACATGAACAAACAAATAACAACAGCCATTTCATGTGGTGCAAGTTCCATACATAAGGCACAAACATTTTAGAAAATTCAAAATACCAATAACATTTATGATACCTTTTCTAGTACTAACATATGTACTAACATAATGAAGTAACTAGTATTGTACATGCACTGATTATGCATTAATGTTTAACTGTAGACATATTCTTAGAATAATCTAATTGTGATCCATTTAATATATACTATGTACTCCCCTTTCCAAAGGTTCCAAATGATTAAGCATTCTTTTGCACATAAACCCTAATTTCTGTAGTATTTTTAAAAATTTATGAATATTTCACTTGTAAGTTTATTTTGAAACATTTATCAGAAATTAGCTTAAAGAACAATTCATCTTACAAATATAAACAACATAAGTTACTAACCTGAGAATATTGGAAAAAAATCCCCTTTACTGATGAAAAATAAAATCTAAGCCCTAAAATAACCATTACTCAAACATCCTACAATATGTATCCCAACAACACAAGTGGGTATACTTAGAAACACATATATGATTAAAGTAAATACACACACAGTAAAAATAGAGGAACAAAATCTAAGTGATATTTCACAGGGTGGTAGGGGATATTTTAAACACTAAAGCACTCATGCAAGTGAGGATCATGTAAACTCAATTTCACTGTTACAACCAGAAGTGAAGTGTTCAAACTACAAAATATACTTACTAGAACTGGAGGTGGATTTATCCGAAAATACTGGCAGCATTAAGAAAAAAGAAATGCGATTATTGGAAGTCTGTGGACACTACATGGTTAGGCTAAGAGTACAACGACTAATATTTTATGTTACTTTACACATACAAAACAACAATAAAATTCTCAGGTTAATTACTTAAAAGCTGTCAACATTTTGTTCATATTACACATATTTTATAAATATTAGGAAGAGATGCAAAACAAAAGCATATATATATATATAAATATATGAAAAATAACAAATCAAATACGAATACCAAACTTGGGAAAATACAACAACCCAAAATATACTAGCAGATTCAATAACATTATATGAAGTATCATCGAACCTAACATAACAGTTACATCACTTAAAAAAATAATTAAAAGTTAATCTGAAGTATTTTTTCCAGTTTGTAAAATAAGTACATACTTCACAATTATACTGTTACATTTGATCTCATAATACTTTATGATCAGTGAAGTTTTTAGTTATCTACCTCAAAAAAAAAAAAAAAAGAAAATTGTACACAACCTGAGATAACGTAAACTGATTTTATCTTAATATAAAAAAAACAATAGTTGCATCTTCTGTAGTAACAAATTAAATACATTTGTAACAATAGACTACTTTCTTTATTAACTGGTTAGACTGGAATAAAAGTAACTGAATTTAATATGTTCTTTTTAATAATTAACTTTTTTCAATATTGTAATTTTTTTATTATTAATATCCCTCCTATCATAGATCATAAGGATGTACACCTCAAAAGTGCAAAAACATAAAATAAAAACAAAATATACTGCATTGTAACAGCAATCTTAATAATACTAAGCTGGTAAGCAGTTATTAAACTAATGGGAGTCCTTTTATGCATGCAAGCTCAGAAATATCAAAGTTGCACATTATCAAATTTGTTCCCAAAAATTACTTAAATAATTACTTCTAAAACTAGTAATTTAATATACAGGACAATAGCATAACAGCATGGTGTGTATTCTCTGTCATGCAGCTTACATCATAAAATGCATACAAACAAAGGTGGAAAATTACATTATAGATTTGGATACTAAGTCAAGAACATTTCAATTCATGTTTAATGACATTTAATTTGTAAAGTCAACCTACAACTAATACAGTTTTAATTAATTTTTCTGTATGTGTATCATTCTTCATAGTTTTTTCATCACTAGCGATGGAAACAATATCCAATCGGATATTAATTTTGGGATCAACCAGAGGATCAGATAGAATTTCCATCAATGGATTATCTCACAATAGACTTAACTGTTGTAATACTGACGGCTTTTTTTGGGTAATTTAAATAAGTATTATGCCAACCCATTGTGTTGCCATTGTAAGACACGGATGGTTGAGATAACTGGAGAAACAACAATGGAAAATACAATTCAAACAACAACCACAATGAGGAATCAGGGGAGTAAAGCACCATCTCAGATTGCCATTTACAGCATTCTCTTAAAGGGCTTGCAAATGCTGTTTACTTATGCAGGACTGCACATCCTTATTAACTTAAAAAAAATATGACGAAGTAACTTGTCTAATACTATACAATAATGAAGTGGTAGCTCATGCCTGTGGTGCTTTTTCACTATGTATGACCACAAATCCACTATCCAATCTGAAAATATCCAAATCTGATTGTATATCATGAACCAGATATTCAACCAAAAACTATTACCAATATCTAATGGTAGCAGAAGAAACTACTGAAGGCTTTTCCACAGTAAAACATGTATACATATATGTTGAATTTGAGTGCAATATAGTGATGCACATTTTCCCATTTTGTGAAGGATTAACATTTGGAAATCTGTTTTGTAATGTTCTTTGTCTAATAACAGATAAGCTACCAGGAAGAAATATGTTTGACAATACTCACAATAAATACTAAAAGATAAGACAATACACTAGTAACTGTTGTTACTTTTTATCATAAAGTGGATATTGAATTTCTATCTTTCCAAAAAAGTTAAATAATGCTTAATTAATTATAGGATAATTATATTCTAATTACCAGTGAATTGTATTCACTTTTACAAAATTGATTCATTCAGTTCTAATATGATTTTATAAAATCAAAGTAAACTGTGACATTATAAGTCCTGGATAAGACAGGACCTGAAAGGGGAGAATATGTTTATACATAGTTTAACACAGTAATCATTAGATACACATATAAAACTAATTTTCGAACAAGAAAACCAAAAACAAAATGCAATACAGATAAAAGACCAACAAATAACACTAAGATACAAACTACAATGGGTTGAAAACTATCTTAGTAAAAAAAGTATTTATCAGACTGAAATTCTGTTTGCAATTTTATCTTAGACAATTTTGGCCTTCACTATATAATTATTTCTTATAAAAATAAAACTTAAGTTATTTTGTTTACTGCATGTATTCCTTAAACAAACAATATATCTCAAGTTCATTTGTTCTTTCACCATAACCAGCTGCTTAAGTGAAGAAAAATTTTATCTCTGAAAAAGTACCCAACACTTGTGAACATGAAATTACCATGATAGTTGGGACAAAACCAGTACAATGTCTAATTTCATTATTTTTACTTTTGACACTGTTGATTTATTGTTTTTGAAGTATCATTTTCTGTTATGATCCTACTTATTAATTAAAGTAATTCTTGTATCTTTGCAAGTCACATAAATACATTATTTTCAATTGAATTTTTAATATGAATAGTTTTACACACCTTGAACCAATAATTTTAAAAATTAAAGACAAATATGTATATATATTTTACAGTAACAATTCTTTAAGTAAAGGTTTGTTTAATGAATACTACATAAAGCTACTCAAGAGCTATCAGCAATAGCTATAGCCAAGTTTTGAAGTGGTAGACTAGAGGAAAGGAAGCTAGTAAACACCACCCATCACAACCAATTGGACTACCCTTTATAAACAAATAGTGAGACTGACTGTAATATTATAATGCCCTCACAGCTGAAAGGGTGAGCTTATTTGGCAATGGGTTTCGATCTCATGATCCACAAATTACAAGTTGAGTGCCCCATTCATGAGGTCATGTCAGGTCTTTAAAGCAAAGGAACTCAGTAAAATTAATTAATGTACTCAAACATAACCATTCCTTAAGTACTATTTAAAAATCACATAAAAAATATCCACCTGAAAATTATTTTAGGCATGCTAGTGTTCTTAAACTATGTATACTATTTCAAAAGCACTTTTTTAAAATAAAATACATCACCAAATACTTCCATCACATTATTAAAGATGTCAAATACTACCATAAATATACACATAATATTCTCAAACGTAAAATCAACAAATATCTTTATAATTCCTTTTCAAGTACATTGTGCTTCTATATAATGAGTAAAAAACACAAAAACCAATGTTTTTTGGCAAAATGAAAGGTAAAATCTTTATTATTAGTTAGACCTGTCTAGTTTCAGTAACACAGTTACCATCATCAGGGCTAGTATCTACAATGTTAGCTTAGCATATATTCAGCTACAACTGTTATTAGGTGTGTTCATTATTAAAAACAAGGTCAGGAAACAAGGGGTGGAAAGTAAATCCTAAATGAGGGATTACATAAAGTAAATAAATATTTAAACAGGACTTATTGATTGGTCTGTCATCTGTATTTATACACACAAATCTGTTTTTTAATTATACAAATACTCTCTCTTTTATATTCCTTTCGTTAATTGTTTGTACATTTCTTAAGATCTTTAAATTTTTCCAGTCATGATTACACATTCTCATTTTTACTTTCCTTGTTGTTTTTCATATGTTCATTTTACTGCAACTACAACTGATCTGGTAAATTTCATCTTTATCTTCAATCTTTTTCAGATCTTTCAGTGTTTGTAAATAGTTGAAAATTTTCTTTTGTGAAATGAATGCTACTTGGTAACCTTTAATCAGAATGCTTTAGGATTACAAAGGAAGGAAATGACTTCCGTCTAATTATTTTCCTGGATTATTATTGTATTTTACTAAGAGATTATTGTATTATTTTGCAAACATATGTTTATCATCTTCCTTTGTTTATATTTCTAAATCCAATTTCAGTTCTCCTAATTACTTCTTTTCCATATTCTTGTTACTTTTAATAAAATTTATGTAGTAAGTTCAACAATGTTTTTTATCATTGTTTTTGTTACCATGCTCATTGTTGAATGTGTGTAATTAGAATCTTTGTATTATTTTATCTTTTAACAATCATTTCTGAGCTTAATTCAATTGTAACACAGTCTTTACAGCCTGACAAAAGGAGTCTGCTCGAAAAATCACAGAAAGTGAACCAGAAATTTTATTTTATTTAGACATATCAATTTATTCTTTATTATCATTTATCCATTTACAAGTACTCAAACATCCAAAACAAAAGACTGAAGATAAAGATGGAATTTACCAAATCAATTGTAGTTATGGTAAAATGTACGTAGGACAAACAAGAAGGAAATTAAAAATGAGACTGAAAGAACACCCATAAGACATAAAACATGGCAACACTTTGTTCTCTACTATAGCTGAACATTTCTGGAACTGTGATGGTAATTATGAATGGAATATTTAAAGATCTTAAAAATGCACAAATAAACAGCAGACAGACCTATCAACATATCTTACTGGAATACTTATTTAATTTAATAATCCCTCATTTATGATCTACCCCTTGTTTCTAAAAATGAACTCACCCAATAACAGTTGTAGCTGAATATATGCTAAGCTGACACTGTAGTTACTAAACTTGATGATGGTAAGTGTGTTATCAAAACTAGTCGGTTCTAACTAATAATAAAAATTTTACCTTTCATTGTGCCAAAAAATGTTGGTTTATGTTTTTTTATTCTTAACAAATATCTTTAAACACAAATATTGGAAATAAACATGTAGAATACAAAATTGTTACCTGTTCTATAATAATTAATCCAACAAAATTAGAGAAATAATACCATATTATTTTTAAATTTTTTTCTGTTATGGCCTACTCTGAAGAAATGTGCTAAATGTTACATGTAAATGGCACTACTAACACATTCATGTTGTGCATAGGGCTTTGACTTAAGACGAGAAATTCTCAACACTTTGTAATTTTTTTAGTATATATTTCTATATAGTTAAGAATAAAGAGGAAGATTAATAATGGAAAAACAAGACATCAAAACATTTTTCAGAACTGTAACTTTGTAAAAATATGGTTTCCCTCTCACATTTATATATAGAAATAAAGATCTAAGTGCATGGTCAGGAGACAAGTTACAGTTGTTCAAGGTTATGTTTTTTTTTATACAACTAACAATAATAATTCCAAACCACCAGCATTTAATAATACATTAAGCATAACAAACACAAGTTGGGAACAAAGATTTTTGCTCGAGTGCATCACAACCAATGTTAATACATTAAGCTAACAAGGAGAGCCCTGAATACCCAAACTTAGGTATTGTTGTAAGTAGGATCTCATGTAAGGTACTTCTCTAGCATACTGGAACTTTACCTCACACGGGGGAGGAGCATTGCGATAGCTTGGAACTATCTTGAATGTCACGTTGCCACAGGCTTCTTTCTGTTCCAGCATAAAAAGTAAGTATCACTAATAAATAAACAACTTCATTAAAAAGTTAGTGTTCAAATAACTTTAATAAGAATTAAATAAGCAATATGAAATATTTCTCATATAAATAACACTGAATATTTCTGGCTATGCAGCTACTTATTATACAAGCATGTTAAATTCAGTACCTTACTAGAAATATCTTTATTATCTTCTAAAGATTTTGTTCTGTTCAAATTTCATTTTTTGAATTCCAACTAATGTAAAATAGGTATTTATTGAAATACATTTTAAAACATTTACAAAACATACACAATAACAGATAAATAAGTTTTTAATGCTTTCACATACAAATTATTTATATCAACTACATATGGCCAAATATTGAAACATAGGAAAGTTTCTTAAAGTTTAATAATTTACATTATACACTTAGTGACATTTTACCATCATAATTTGCAGTGCTTCTATAGACTGATGTGCTACAGGCACTCCATTGATTTCTTTAATCTCATCTCCCACATGAAGAGTTGCTAGATAGAGAAAATACAAAAGTCTAACCGAGCTGACATATTTTCATTAGTGGTTAAAAAATGTATTCGTTAAAGTTACTTCTCACATCACACTTTTTCTCTCTAGAAACAAAAATCATATAAAATTGCTACCCAATTTTACAATATCTGTTTCTAACTTGTAATTTTATATAGATATTAAAAACAATGCTCACTCTATAGTAAGTTCTTCTAAATTTGGCTACTTCTAATTTTTTCTTATTCTTAATAATTATCAATTAATAATCCAAGTCTTCATGCATAAAATAATAACACTTCTTTTACCTTTAACAATGATTTTGGAGAAAAAAATTTTAGTAATTAAAGCACAAGTTCATTAATTGTGTTACAAAACTTTCTGGAAAATCTACTGACAATAAACAATAAAAGTCTGACCTTTTAATTTCTATTTTACAAAACCTTAAAGACATGCGAGTCTCATTTAAATATAATGTATAAAGAAACTCACTTCTCATTTAACATCAATTACAAATCAGTATAGTTATATTGCATGACTCAAATATTACAGTTTGTGTTTTTAAAAACTAAATCACACATTGTGTTCAAAACACACTGCTAGAGGAGAAGCAGAAAGTGAGTAAATTCCATTTGTTTCATTGTAAACAAATAAATTTCGTTGTTTTCATGCATCTTTAAAACTATAATGTAAACAGAACTAATTATCTTGTACATGATTTATCATTACAGATGTAAGCTGGAAAATGTTTTGGAAAATTACTAGAAGGCATATTTAAAAAAAATTTTCAATTTTGTTCATGTGATCTTTTAATAAATACTTTATATTATATTTCAATAGCTTAATTTTAATTCATAATTTACTATGGTTAAAATACACTAAGTTGTTAATCTACAGGCTAAAGAAAATAAGCTCGTTAGGATTCTTCAGCACAAAATAAATTACTATGGGATGTTCATGCAAGTTACTGTACGTATGTGTTATTGAAGTTTCATATATATATATATATATATTAATCAATTTCCTTTTTTTTTTACTTGTTACTAGCCAATTGGATAAGAAGTGTATGACGTGTTTGACCATCTTATAGGCTATTAAAATCCAAAAGCTGGTGGACTACAACATAAAACAACTAAAAGAACATACTTTAAAATGAATCCAACATTTCATGAGGAAGTATACAATTATAGGTCACATGATAAATTACACCATAGATGTTGTCAGAAACTAACACATCAACAAATGTATAAACTAATTTCTTGATCAACATATTTTTAACAATAGTTTAACTTTCCAGAAAACCATTTTGGAAGGTTTATCTTTTTAAATATGTTGGAGGTAGGCTCATAATTAACATGATGGAGTTCATTACAAGTACGCTCTGCCAAAGCTGAATGAGAAATATTACCTAACCTTAATGCTCTTTTGTCTTCATCTCGGTGATTTTTGTTTATTAAGAGTTCTAGATGTTTGACTTAGATATACATATTTCTAAAATTAATATAAGAAGTAAAAATAGACTACATTCTTTAGGATTTTTATCTTAAGGATGACATAAAATATACTTTAAGTCTTAATGGATTGATAGGGCTACTTGGAAACCAGCTTCACAGAAAATAGGACTAAAAGGTTCTAAAATTTCTTTCACCAAAGTTAAAACAAACTTACGAATATTTAAATTATTTTAGTAACTAAGATAAGAATCACTTTGATTTTTTTCTAAGTGATTTTGTTTACTTAAATCTATTTACAACTAACAGAGTATGTATGTGTATATCCACCCCCAATTGAGGTTTTTTAAGTTTCTACTAATTTTGCTCTTGCTTCTTGTGAAGAACACAGTATAAAAGCTCTTTTATTCAACAGTTTTTACTACAAAAGCCTATGACATGATTGAAAATGTAAGTAAGGAAAAAAACAAAAACAATATCAGTTCCAAAATGGTCAATTTTAGTACAAGTAATATTACTATCAAGAAAGGGTAAGCTATTTAAAGTTTACTTCTCCACTGAAAACTAAATATACAGGTCAATGCTATTAAAGTGAGAATGGAAATCTGCAATGTGTGATTCTGAAAATATGGGTTACTGTTCAAAATAATACCTTGAACAGTGATGAAAGAATCAACTTACACCCTCTTTGTCATTACCTACCTAACAGTTAATGAAGTGTTTAGTTAAATGTGATCTTACATTCATTTTGTGGGAATAACCTAGATGGGTGCAGTCTGTCTAGAAGGCAACATTGCATCAATGAATTAAAGACATTATAGAAAATAAACTTGTAGTCATTTTTTCATTCATTAAAAAAAATAACCCTTCAAAAGTTATTAGTTTTATATAATGAAAATATATTTCCAATAGGTACTTACCTCCTCTCACATGTTGGAGAGTGCTGCCTCTATATGCAAAAATTATTAATGTGGTTCACCGCATCTCGCATGTGACTCCCTCTATTCAATTCATCAAACTACCACTTCGAGATTAGACAGAGAGGAAGCACCAGTTTTAAGTGGGAGAAGAGAAGTTCTTTGAATGCTTTCGAAGGATATTTCTTTATATCCCTTGCATCAGTCCCTCCATCTATTCAATATAGGATTCTAGCTATATGTGTGAGCGGAGGTAAGGTACTGTATTGGAAGTTGTTATTTTCCTATACTGAAAATATATTTCCAATACAGTACCTTACCTCCGCTCACACATATAGCTAGAATCCTA